CACAGTATTTTCCACAAACACAGATGAGAACAGTAGGTTTGAATGGCTGCTCTTAGCTGTATGGAATGCCTCGCACATTGATTATTTATAACTGAATATGCCAGCCACAGTTTTTGTTGCTTAGTTTATGAATGAGTGTATTTTTTTTAAATGTGTATTTATACTGTATGTATGATTTGCATGTTTCAAAGAAGGGATATGTAAAGTATACTGACAAATGTTTACAACAAAAGTGGAGAGAAATGTACATACATTTTTGTATGTTTAGATAAACCATAAATACTCAGGATTGGAGCTGCTTGTAAGTATGACAAATATACATAACTTTCCCCCCTTGTATCAAAGTCAATCAGAAATATAAATAAAAGTGGCACTTCCTGTTAAACTGTAGGCCTTATTGGGAGCCACTTCCTGAGAGCACTTCACTCATTGGGGATCATGTACCAAGTGTGGATGGATGGTCAGCCACAACACAGTATCTCCAGTGAGGCAATGTGAAAACTGCTCAGGCCTCCATTTGTAGTTGGTTTTTTTTTAATTAGAAAAACAAACCCAAGTTGACTGCTGAAATGTCAGTAGCTTTCAGAAGGGGAAGCAAAAATAAAGTTTATATAATCTTTTTGATGTGAAAGTGCATTTAAATGTTTGGCTTGATGCAGTAATAGAGACACAGAGCTGTTAATAATGGTTATATAGATTAACGTGATTTAAGAACTGAAATACGTAAACGTATAGTGAAATTAGTAAGTTTTTTAAAAAACTTAAGTTATTAGTGAACAGGGATCACTGTTTTCCATTAGCATTTCATACAGACAGCCACGTTTTGAATTAAAAAAAAAAGTGTGTTATGTGAGTGAAATGCCATATTTCTTTTACAGGTGGAATACTATCTTTGCAATAAATACAATTATTGGTATCCCAACTTTTCCCTTATCTCAGACAATAAAAGAACTGTCACGTATGCTACGTGAATTGTACTTGTGATTGTAATAACAAAACTGGAGGTTTTTTCAGCTCTGAATAATCACTCGCCAATTAAACCACTAGTATACATTTTTATGGCTGTAAGTGTCATATTACTGTTTTCATTCACCTGCCTTTTTTAAACAATTGATGACCGTAGTGAATGTTGATGGGTTTTTGTTAAAAGCCGATGTCCCATTTTACCAGCTAACCCTAAGTGCATGGAATTTACCTCAGCATAAATTCAGTACAGTAGCAAGTGTTACTTACTGGGTATTTAATGTAAAGATTTTATTAAGTTATCCTCGTGTCTGAGAGGTATTCACTATTTGGAAACATCTGTTCTTGCACAGTTTATGCTCTAATTGGTTATAAACACTTCAGCAGCAAATCTGAAGTTTAAACCCCGTTAGCTACACTAAGCTAAGTGTTTTAGATAATTGTTGAGCATGTATCCAATTTGTAGTTACAGTATAATGTAACTACTTGTGCATCAATTACTATGTAATATTCAGTCGCCAGTAATGCAAAACTTTGTACTACATACTTGAAGACGTTTATTTGAATTATGGGTGTCTTTTTTAAACACTTCTTGAACATGGACACTATGAATAATGTATCTTCAGATTTTAATCTAGTCCTTAGCCCTTCACAGTCTGCCTCATCCAAAACTGTTAACTTCTTCACCCTTGTAACTTTTTACATTGAAAGAATATTTCTTAAAACCCTGTATTGTGAAACTTGATCCTGCATTGTTGCATATTTTTTAGCCTTTTTAGACTTTATTCGCTACCTCATCCATGCTATTAAATCCTGAAGAATTTTCGCCATACGGTGTAAGCAAGATTAAAATGTCTTAAATTGTGATTCCCAGTAGGAAGAAGACAAACAGTAAATGTTTACTTTAAATAAAATTTATTTACAAAGCCTCATAGTATTTGCTTACAAGCCTGTAGCTTTGCCTTGGAATGCTTTTTACCCATTACTACATGAGGATGTAATGGATACATGTTACAAGACAGATAAATATCCTAATAAACATACAGCTCTTGTCTTACCTTTGCAGAAATCCATAAGTTGAATGAGGTTCTGTTCAGGTACTTATAATCAACCCTGTGTATTCTACAAATGACCATAGGATTGGTCAGTCCTCCTACTATAAATGCAAATGTTGCTATTTGAAGATTGAATGAGTGTTTCCTTTCATAGCCATATTCTTGGATAAGAAACATGACCTTCCAGATATAGTTAGTCTCACCTCAGCCAGCATGGCTAATAATGATTGGAGGTGTACTCTTAACATCTGGAGGGGCACACGTCTTCTAGATCTGTTTTGATAAAACTGCTGAAAAGATTTGAGCCTAGTCAAATTGCCACAAAGGTCTGTAAAATATAAATGGCAGAAGTACCAAAGAACTCAAATTCTCTTAAAATGCAAACAATACAAGGGGCTGGTAAGATATGTAGAATTAACTCTAGTTAATTTAAGATTTAAATAATAAAAATACCATGGTTTGGTTTCTTAGATGTTTGCAATTTTTCTTAAGTAATTGAAATTAGTTTGCAGATCATATATGTCAGGCTTAAGATATTGTGACATATCTTTTGGGGGCAGCAGTAGGTGATACAGCACTTTTGCAAATAAACTGCTTTATCTGTCACATTTAGACCAACATGTATCCTAAAGCACTCTTAGTAGACGATGCCACACAAATTCTAGCTCAACTTGAAAATCTCACATTTTAATAAACAAGTTTCAGTATGCCCCCTCATTCAAAAAATGCACACTTATGAAATTGATAAACTCAGCTGATGCAAAATAAATAAAATCATGGGAGTTTATCCATGCCACAATGGCCCTCCAGCATGACAAGGGAGAAAAGATAACTGGGAGATGACCATTGTGGCAGAGTAAAAGTTGAAAGTGTAATAATATTTGGCAGCATACATTGAATGTATTATAGAATGCACCTATAGGGTGAACAAATTTATTGACAAAATGTGGTTTGGGCTATTTTTGCAAAGGAAACTGATTGATGGGATAAATAGTTGGGAACTCTCCACAAAATAAAAAGGTCCCCATGAGAAATGGGAAAATCTGAGTATTTCCATTAAATCCATGAAATGAGCACACTCCCATATGGTTGCATTAAGAGAACTCTTGGTACAATCCTATCTATAAATGTCTACTCAGAAGCAAGTCCTATTAAATTCATGGTGCTTATTCTGCGATAAATATACGTGGAATTGCTGCCCCAGTTTTTGTGGACCTCAAGTCATGTTTCCCGTTAGTGGTGCTATGCACTATTGAGTTTACTGTCATTTGTTGAGTGGACTATCATGATAGCCATTGACTGCAGGGATTAGTCAATGCTGCATTTTGAATTCTGGCATTTACGTAAATTGCACTTTTATACCTCTGCCTTAGGTCTTAACAGATTCACCTCTACCCTCAGTGGTTTAATTTTATATAGATCTATAAACTCTTAAAACTATGGCGATACTGTAGACCATTTATGAACTTTAGGATGAGTGTGAAGACTGAGGATTTTAACCAGATGGGCGGGATATAAATTATAAAATTATTATATTCTAATACTACATCAATATCATTTGTGGTATCTTTACATTCTGTTCCCCAAATACCCATACATAGAAAAACTTGAGCCCCCTGGGAGTTGCCCTTCAGTGGCTTCTATTTAAGTATGGGCAACTAACTGAAAAGTACCAATATGGGATGGGTATATTTTAGATAAGGCTTCCTCAACCTCTGCCTTCCAGATGTTTTAAGACTACAATTCCCATCATCCCTGACCGCTGGTCCTGCTAGCTAAGGATCGTGGGAGTTGTAGGCCAAAAAACATCTGGAGGGCTGAGGTTGAGGAAGCCTGATTTAGGTGCTTTCTCCCCCTCTTCAGACAACTTGCTGCTTTCTCCTCTGGTCAAATCTCAGAAAGAAATTTAGTCTCTTGGACTAATTCCTTGCTCTTGAACACCTACCTCTTCCTTAACTTTCCAAAGGGAAGGTAGCCATGTATGTATAGTTGGGCTTGAGGATGAAAGTTCAAGAAAAATGTTTTCATAGGGCTTTCTCAAGGGAAAAGAAATGTCGAAGTGAAATCCCCACCCCTATTTCCATAATGCAATATTGGTTTGAAGTACTGAATTAACCATATGTAATCAGGAGAAGGTGGGCATATGTCCATCTGCCTACATTACAGGTAAGATTATTAGGATAACCCAAGGTGTAATATAGTAAAAGGTTATATTGTTATATCCTCTCAACGTTTCAAGTTAGGCTGAGAGACTGCTGAACCCAAGGTTACCTTGTATTACGGATAAAAGCACATACCAGTACATTGCCTGGAAACAGGTATGTTTTTATTCTAGGATGCATATTTACAATTTAAAATGGCTCTAAATGGCCTATCTAGAGGTAGGAAATATCAGTGATTATTGTCACTTGGTCATCCAAGCCTAGGCTTATTTCATCAAATTGAAATGAAATTCTTTTCTTTTTTGTGGAAAAAAATAATAAAAGACAATGACTTACATTTCTGTTGTGAGAAGCAACACTTCAAAATCTCTTGTTACTTTTATTCTTTTCTACTTTGATCAGAAAAGTGAATTGCATGATTATTTTATTAAGTTGAGCATTCATGTACCAGTATTATTATTATTTTGGGTTGAATCCAGAATATTTCATCCACAAAAATAAGGGTTGACTGGAGGCAACTTTCACCAATGCTCTGCAGCTCCCCACACCATTTCAAATGCTGCAAAGTTCCCCCCACCTTCTGCAGCAGATTTAGCGTGGAAGTAGAGGTGGAAAGGAATTACTATTTTGCCTTTCATTCATGGTGATTGAATAATGACTGGCTGATTAACCACTGCCTGTTAAGATGAGCCTCCTTTTATGCAATTAAGTCAGTCTATCTCTTCTACTGAGCAGTCCACACTTCATATTGTGTTGCATGGCTCCCAGGCTTTGAGTGGGGGGGGGGGAGAGATGAATTGCAGGGGTAGGGAAGCCAAAAGATGTCAAAATGTCTGATTTTTATTTTAAAATGAGATTAAGTGTTCTACAGCCATAACATTTTGATACAAAGTTTGCCGTCCTGAAATTGCATCATGTCTATATTTGAAAATGAAAAACAAGAATTTACAACTCTAACTTTCACAGCTTTCATACCAATCACACTATAGCCTAGCCATTCTCAAACTGAAAGTTTAAATGTTAAATTTCATTTAACCTCTTCAATAAGTAAGGGGGAAATCTGTCATCTGCTGAAGCCTTTGCAAAGTTCATGAGGTTTTTAAATCATGAAGGGATGCTGCAGCAACTGTAGAGCAGTAGGTCGCTCATACTGGTCCCTGTTTGGAAAACAATGGGGAAAAATAGATTAATTTATTGCGAGTAATTGATATGCTTCTGTCAGCAACATAGATTTATTACTTGTATAGTAATAAATCCACTTTTGAAAAACTTGTCTATCTCACGGGACTAGGTGAGCATCAAAAAGTTGTGCTGGAGCTTTTATATTCTTTTTTAATGATTGAGGCTTCTTTCTGGTCATTTTGACATTTAAGGGTTTGATTCCTGACAGTTCTCAAATGGTTTTATGGCCTTTGCCTTGGACAAAAGGCTTTAGTTCTTATTAAAAGAAAGGGGGAAGCTAGAAAAGCATTTGCCTCTTCTCTTAAATAATGGTACCATCAGCCCAGTCTGACAGTTTATAAGTTTCAGACACTGCTACAAAAAAGTTGCAGATCATACTCCTATCCACTTTTACAGGGGACAAATGGTCCCAGACATGTGGAAGGGAGATATTCAGCCTTTCCTTATTTCAAGCAGAACTCTTTCCCAACCCTTATCTGCGGGTACCAAAGACTTGGACCTTTTCTTTGCCATCTACATCTCACACTATAGACCTGGTGCAATTTCCCTTACCTTTTTAAGGAACTCATTGAACTACACATTTTACTTAAGGAAAATATAATGATTAAAAGGATATCTCTTTAATATTTACAGATATTTAATATCTCTTTTACTATTAATAACTACTCACCTGGTGAAACACAGATGAACAAAATCTGCTGCTTTTGTCGAGCAATGGTTGGGTAAGGAAGGCATGATTCCCCTGTGAGCACCAATATAAAACATGGCTGCTATCCTATCCATGGAAGCCAGTGGTGGCTTTCCTGTGGCCATCTCAAATACAGTGCAGCCAATGCTCCAGATGTCTGATTTTCTCCCATAGCCAGATTCTTTTATCACTTCTGGTGCCATCCAATAAGGAGTGCCATGCACTGATTTCAGTGGTTCGCTGTGGGCATCAGTCAGACTTACATAGGCTAAGCGCTTTGCACATCCAAAGTCTATGAGCTTGATAACACCATTGGGCATCAGCATGACGTTGTTGCCTTTAATATCTCTGTGGACCACACAGTTTTCATGCAAGTATGCAACCCCTTGCAGAATCTGCTTCGTATATTTACAAAATACTATTTCAGGCAATGGCCCAAATCGATGAATAATACTGGAAATGGAACCACCTGGAACAAATTCCATGAAGATACTCACTATGTTGTCTTCTAAACTTGTTCCCAGGTACCCTACAATGTTGATGTGTGTTAGATTTTTCAAAATCTCAACTTCGTATTGCAGTTTCTGATATTCCTTCTCAGTCCCGATTTGGTCACAGGTACTCAGTGCTACTTGTTTCACAGCTATTAAATGTCCTTGGCTTGTAAGTCCACAATAAACCTAAAAATTAAAAATGCCTATTTTAGTAGTGGAACTACAGATACATTCCTGTGTGCACACACATTAATATGTACTCACACATGCTGTTCTCATGCATCTGATTTAAATACAGTATAACATCCTGCTTAAATTATGTCTGCAGTTATATCTGGTATTCATTTATTTCCATAGAAAATATGACAAGGTAGTGTACCACATAAAATACTACAATAATAGTAAAAACATCAACAACATATTAATGAAAATTGGTTGTCCCACAAAAAAAAAAAAAATCATATTCCAAAGTCTGAGAGAATCGGCTTCTGGTATACTCTTCTGCTAAAGAAGAGACATGCCCAGTTCATACTTAAGCCCTTCTGATCACAAAAAATATTCTGTGTGATCATATAATAGTTCTTCCATGAGCAAAAGAGGCACTTTCAAATCCAACCCACAATATTTAAAGGCCACCTCACTGGTGTTTGCCATGCAGGGCTTTTAGTGAGTGCCCTCATCTGAAAGCTATGAAGACATTGGCAGTAAATAACCCAAGGCCAACCTTTCTTCCATCATAAAATTCAGTGAGGCATACACAGGCTTCATAGGTGGTCTTTCCATCTAAGCTCTGACCACACTCAGGCCTGCTTAACTCCCATGTTTGCTTTATAGGAGTTGCCATTGTATAACTGAACACCCTTTTCTTCCCTGCGCACCTGCTAAATTTGTTCTCGGGTTTCCCTCACCATCCTCCAAGCAGATTTGTGGAGAGTATGGGGTGTGCACTGTCTGGTGGAAGAGAGGGAGCAGCTCCATTCTCCAAATGTAAATTATTGCACTAAATGAATGAGGACACTGGATACTGCCCACAGTGTCTCCTCCCACCTGCCCTGGCAGACTCCTTCACAGTTCTCACCAATTTTGTGGTTCACCCAGAGATGAACCTCTGGATGGCTTCCCAAAATGCACAACAGCATCTGGAAGTCTGCTCAGATAAGTTTTTGTCCTATCTAGTCCCATGACACAAAGCCCACTTGATTTCCTTTAGAGAAAGTAAAGCAGCTTTAATCAGGGATGCAATTGTGGTGGATTCTCAAGACCCACAATTGTACATTCTTTACTTTCTGCTTAGAAGCCAGTATATTGCTGGGCTGATGGGAGTTGTAGGGCAAAACATTTGAAGGACACCATATTGGGGGGGGGGTTTGCTTGTTTAGAAGGACTGGAATTGTAATTAGGATTGATCAAGGTTTATTGATGCTAAAATGTCCTTTGGGAGATACATTGAATACACTTTGAGATAACAGGGGTGTTATATATACTCCCCATGTAACTTACTGTGCCATAGGCTCCTTTTCCAAGGATTTCACCTTTGGTCCACAGGATAGGTCCTTCACTAGCTACATTGTTTTCTGAAAATGTAACCACATTTAGAAATCTATTTTCTCTACTGGATTCCAGGAAATCTGGAGAAAAATCCTGTAAAAAGAGGACAGAAGAGCAAACCAGAACACGTTGAATGAGATATAATGCAAAGAGAGGCTTGAGATCAGGGTCATTTATATAGTATGTTGAATAGACCTTATTTCTTTCCTGAGAGAGAGAGACAAAAACTCTTATCACAGCAGTCTTGAGATAAAAGATTGCTGCTATTTACGGTAACTTGGTGGTTGGATCTACTGAGTGCTGTTAGCACAGAATACTTAAACGGACCTTCACTTATAGGGATGGTGTACCTCTGAGTACCACATGCTGGAGAGAGCAGAGGAAAACCATTACCTTCTTGGTGTGCTTGTCAAAGTAAGAGACATCTGGACTAGATGGGCATTGGTTTGATCCAGCAGTACAATTAGTTTGTTCTGATTGCTATTTACAAATGGAAAGCTGAGGCTGAAAATAAAGAGTTGCCCAGGATTGCCTGAAGGATTTCTGAATGGTAAGAAATTGAGTCCTAGATCTCAAGGCACAACATATTTTAAATATTTGTCTGGCTTTCACTGTTCTATTGCTATTAAAGATACTTATAAAAACTTCAATAATTACCTTACAATTTCTAACACTTGCTGCGCTGTTTCCTTTACTCTCAGTGTTTCCATTTTGTACCACAGTATCTGCATTTTTTATAGCTATTCTCGAATGGTTGCCATCTGCTCTATCGAGAGAGAGCAACTCAGATACAGAACAACAAAACGAGTCTTCAGTTATTTCTTCACTGCAGTTCAGGGTGTTTGGATATTCCTGGGAAACAGAGTTTGCAGGAAGGCAAGTCTGTTCGGTTGATAAACCAACTTTTTCAACTCGTGGCCTTTGTGGAGGAGGTGAGTTTACTCTGTTTGAAAAACATAGTGCAGGGGGGTTCCTTTGATTATCATCACAGAACAAAACCTGATTTGCATCCAGATCCTCAAGGCAAGCAGTTGATCCAATTTTCGTCTGCATTAAACTTTTGTTCTGTGCTATGATGATAGGTTCATTTGTATCTTTTGCATAGTTTAAAAAAGGAGCATATTCTGCATGAACTTTAACCTTCGGCCAAAGTAATTCCTGAACATTGATAGCAAATGCTTTACTAATGAAAGCATCGCCAGCCTCTGAAGTGTGATCCAATGAGACTTCTTCAATAGTTGACAAATTTGAATTAGGAATGACTTCATTTTGTTGAGCTGGTAGAGTAAACTCGGTAGGAATTGGCAGCTGCTGATCGTCATCTTCATGAAATGGTGCTGCACTCTTTATTTGCCCTTCTGTTTTAGGGTCAATCACACTTTCCTTCTGCTTCTGACAGCAACCCTCTAACCCAGATACCCCTTTTTGCCCCAAATCCTTCTCCTTCTGTTTAATGCCAAGGGAATTCTTGTGTGATTTGGGGCATGTTTTCTTCTGGGCATTTCTTATTCTGCCACTCTTCTTTGCACTGAGATGGTTATATTTATGTTTCATTGCAGTGCGCCTCCCAGCTGGAGCAGAGTGCACATTCCTGCAGGAACTGTTTTCACAGCCATGAGGCTCCCTGGAATATGCTGGAGTTCCAAACATTTCATAAATGCCCGGACCTTTGTCACTTGAATTTATTTCCTTGAACATGTCACTGTACTTCAGGTCTACGAATTCTACGGAAGACTGTGCTTGTCTTACAGGAAAAGGAGTAATGGTTTCTCCTGAGCTAGGGAAATGTTTGGAATTTCTGGGAAGCATCTGCTTTGGGGATTTCTGACTGCTTTGACCGAAGCGGCATTTCTCCTGCTGAAGGTGTTTATTCTGAAGCTTTGAGGAAACCCCAGTCTTTGCATGAGACAATCCTAGTCCTTGAGAATGAGAAGTGGGATTCTTTACCTTGTTAGCATGGTGTTGGATAGAACTCTTGCCCCAAAGAATAAAATCTTGAGGCATCTTGGTACACACACTAGCCTTTAGAGCCAAGGTGGTTCTGTTGCTGTTTACTTTACAATTTTCACTCCCTTTATGAGCAAAAATGTTGAAGCTGTGGCTTAAGTTAGTTGGCATGCTCTTTCTTTGAGCAGAGTGTCTAGAAACATGGGAGATCTGATCTGGTTCATGGCTAGATATTGTAATATGGCTAATGGGAGTTGCTTTCGTACTATTGCTTTCAGCAGCTTCAGACACAGTGACGTTTTCCATCATTCCCATGTTGATTGCTGTACAAATACTGCTTTCAGATTGTTCAAGAACCATCAAAGTATTAGGAATAGTAATCACTGAAGCATGATGTTCTGTAACCTCGCTTTGAAGACTTGAATGCATATCAGTATTTCCTGGTTCAATATTCATAGTATCTTTTGTACGTTCGTTCGGATCTGGTTTCACCTCTGATGATTCTGCTTTATTTGACTGTAGCTTAGGGCTGCCACTCCTCTTTGCAAAATATTTCCCCCAGTTCTTAGCTTTGGAACTATCTTGATGTCCCAAAGGAGAACATTCATATTTTTCTGCTGTATGTACTACTTTGCTTTGGCTGAAGTAATCATCAGGATGGTCAAAACTACAGTCTTTGCTTGTAATACTTAAACTCTCAAAGGTTGCCAAAACCTGATGCATTTCACCACTGGATACTTCATTTCCTATATCTGCTCTATATCTGCCGCACTCAAACTGCGGTTCAGTTTCTTGGGCTTTGGAATATCGAAAGGTCATATGACAGTTATCCAGGGTGACTGAGTGTGGATCTCCAAAGACGGTGAAGCCATCTGTTATAATTTTGTGATTCTGGTCCTCAGACTGAGGGTCAGTATGCTTCGTAGGAACGGAATAGTGGTTCAAAATATTGGGCAGATTATTACAATCAGCATTTTTCTTGGCTTTGTCTTCTAAAGGAGGAAGCTGCACCATTCTTATAGGATGAAATGCCACTGGTGGTGATAGGTTGAGCTGAAAGTTTAGAAAAAACCACCTATTAATGAATCAATATTGTTTAGGAAGTTCTTAAATGAGTTCAAGTATGGATACCACTCAATAAGCGTGGCTGGAGAAATAAGCCAGATGGGTGGGGTATTAATAATAATAATAATAATAATAATAATAATAATAATAATAAAGTAGTGCTAATACTCAGTTTTACTTCTTAAGCCTTGCATCAGACATATAGTTTAGAATGGAGTCACTCATGTATACAGAATGGAGTCACCAATCTATACAGACAGTGGAGAAGAGGGAGAGAGAGTGAGAGAGAGCAGAGGGTGACTCCATTCTAAACTCTTTCTCTCTCTCAACAATTTTTCTGCCTTTGTTTTACCCTTTAGTCTTAGTATGTGAAAGCAAAGTGATATGGATTGGGTTCCAAAGGACTGAGCAGGCTTGTGGCAAGAGTTTTGTACTACCTTTCTTTGTTTTATTTCTTCCCGTGTTCTTTTTTTTATGTTCTGCTAAGACTGGAAATTAGCTGTATTTGTCTTATTGTTTGTTTTATATATTATAATTTTGCTAGAACATAATTAGCCAAAACTTTGTATTCTGAATTGACCTGGCTTTTGTCTTCTTTGCCAGCCATCTGGCATATAGGGTTGCTGCCTCCTGCAGCATTATCTTTGTGCTTTAACAGTACAACTTAATCTGCGGTTTAATACTTGGGTGGTTATACCATAGACAAGTTATTGATCTATCTTGCCTGCTGCTGATTCATCCTAACAGATAGAGGTTCTTGATAAGCCATAAACGTTCCTTGAATCTAGCCCTTCAGAGATGCAAAAGCATGTCTCCGCCATCCCACTATGCTCAGTCACTTTTATGAGGAGAAGAAGTGAGACAGGAAATTATTAAGTATAGGAAATTAACCTATTCCCTTTTCTTGAGATAACTGTCACAATGTTGCTAATTAAAAAAAGAAAACACTGACTTTGGAACTTTCTTCCAATCAGATGATTAAAATAATTGGCTAAATAAAGAGAAAAATAGAATAAAATGTATGCTTACTTACAAAAGTATTTGAAGTCATCTGGCTCTATTACTTGTATTAACTGTGGCTGGGGCATCATCCGCATTCTGTCTGCAGATGACATCTGTTTTCCCTACATATGGTGATCAACTACACAAAGAGCTTTCTAATTACTATGGTTACCCAGAGCAGTGCATCCTCCTCTTTCCAGAGCAAAGCCACGAACCTTACAGTGTCATTTAATTGTATGATTACATGAAAGGAGGTTGCAGATTACAGGTGGTAACTATTAATTCTTAATTAAAAAAAAAACTTTTAAAATTATAAAACAATATGCTGAGGGCATACACTCATTAGGAGTGTATGATGACACCCAGATCTATTTCTCTGTAACAGCTGAATCAGAAAATGTCATAAATGTGATCTACTGAATTAAACTGATCTTTAAGATTTTCTGAGGATATCCTGCTGGTTATTACATGACCAGCAGATTGTCCCTTGGTGACCATATTGAAGTTTATAAACTCTAAACTCACCCTCTAGAATGCACTTCCTTGGACAAAGGCAGTAATAAATTTCATCCACTCCTTAGAAGCTTGTACGTTTACCCACACTTTACTGGACTTAATATTGTTTTGTACACTGTTCAGTTTTATATAGTTATATAGATTTGTTTTTATCTTTTTGATCTAGTTTTGGGAGGTTTTATTGAATGTCGGGTTTTTTTAGTCCTATGGTAAACCACTTCTACTTTTATGAAGTGGAAACTGTGTAAAGTTGATGGGGTCACACCTCCTCTGAAAGTGCAGGTATGTAGCTTAGAGGTACCGTTTGGATCCATTGGTGTTGCTTGAGGCATAAGTGCCCTTGGTGGCACAGAGTGCCTACCATTAGCTTCAGCTGGTGGCTCAGGTATGCTCCTATCCGGACAGGGATAGCCTAACTTCTGTTGTCCATGTTCTTGTAACCTTTAGGTTAGATTATTGGATTATTTTCTACATACCTTTGATAATAGCTTGGCAACTTACCGGTAAGCTGGTGCAGAACTCAGCAGCCAGGCTGGTCACCAGGGCAAAATAGTGTGAGCACACTACACCAATCCTGGCCTCACTGCACTGGCTACTAATTCGTTTCTGGGAGCAATTCAAAGTGCTGGTTTTGACCTATAAAGCATTATGTGGCTCAGGACCCCATACCTCAGAGACTGCCTCCCCCCCGTATGAACCAACCTTGACCCTGTGATCATCATCTGATGCCCTTCTTCATGTGCCCCCTCCATGGGAGGTCCAGAGGGTGATAACATGAGATTGGGCTAGTGGTGTCTCCCCATTTATGGAAGGTTCTCTCCAGGGAAGCTTGCCTGGTGCCGAACTTACATATCTTAGGCGCCATGCAAAAACACTGCTTGTTCACCAGGACTTTAATTTTAAATTATCTATGGCCTTTTTGCATGAGTGGGATGTTTTAATTAAACTTTATAGAAATAGAATGTTAAAATATTTTTCTAATGCTGTCTTTAATGCGTGCATATGTTTCCTTAAAATATAAAATAATAAACTATAAACTAATGTTGCTTACATTGTCTGCAAAAGTTGAGGGAGCAAATCCAGTGCTATAATTTGTGCTTTCAAATACTTTTCCCATCCATCTTCTAAGTCAGTAGTCTTTAACTTGTAAAGAGCAAAGACTCACTCAAGATTCACACCTGGCACAACAACATGGACTTGCATCCGTGAGTCCCATGAACTGAGGGAAGAGAGGAGCTTTGTGATGAAGAATGAAGTCCATATATCCAGAGTGAAGGTTAAAGGGACAGAGCCCATTCATCTGGTGATGGAGCGCAATATGAGGAAGAATGAATTATGTTAAAGTATGCTGGTCTTCCACTCATTTATAAATCCCTGCCACCAACTGATGCATAATATGAATTTAGCCCAACACTGATTATTCTTATACAAATTGGACTCCCAATTGTGTCATTAACACAAAAAGTGCAGAATTCAATTAGCTAATAATACTAATAATTAGTAAAACGTGCTCATATCATCTGTAACCCACTGAACTTCATATGCGAAAAAGAGGAAACAAAATAAAAAATGAAGTAACACTGTGGTTCTGGCTTACCTGCAATTTGCTTCTCCCAACAATGACACTCCAAGCATGTTAGCTTAGAGTTCCCCAGGTGTATAGGACTCCCAGTGTTCTGGCCTTGACTGCAGAGCCCACTGAATGATTTCTGCTTCAGGCTCCCCTACCCCCATCCCATGTACAGAGCTACATTCAGACTGTTTAGTTTACAGGCTGTCGCCAAGGCAACTCTCCTTGGGGCATTTTGTATGGTGAATTGCCAGTCAAGCAGACTCAGCTGGCTGGGAAAACAAATGTAAGAAACCCACATCTCCAACTGATTTGCTCCACCAGCGCAAACACTCTCTGGATTGGAGCCAAAGTAAACTACAAATTTTTTTGCAGCACTTCAGAGGTGCACCACGCTCATCTTACTCTCTGTTCTTCTCATTTTACAAATGACAATCAAATGCTGAAATGCGGCAGCAAAGGACCACCCAGGTCCCGGGCAATCTGTTAGGATGGGGATGGATGTAAGGTAAACCTGGCTTTATGACCAAATCTCTCCCATGATTTTTTTTTAATTAACCAGGGCTTAGGCTGCACCTTCATAATTTCTGCATGCACCCACATGATGATGATAATAATAATAATATAATAATAATAATAATAATAATTTTTATTTATACCCCGCCCTCCCCTGCCAAGGCTGGGCTCAGGGCAGCTAACAAGCAATAATAAAAACAATAAAAACAAGTTGAATGAATAGAACTTAAAAACAAGATTAAAATATTGAAACATTAAAATATTAAAATGCAGCCTCATCACAGGAGGAGAAAGGAAAAAGAAAAAGGAAAGAGGGGAAGGGAATCAAATTGGCTCCAAGCCAAAGGCCAGGCCGAACAACTCTGTCTTACAGGCCCTGCGGAAAGAAATCAGATCCTGCAGGGCCCTGGTCTCATGAGGCAGAACGTTCCACCAGACCGGAGCCAGTGTTGAAAAGGCCCTGGCTCTGGTTGAAGCTAATCTAACTTCCTTAGGGCCTGGTACCACTAGGGTGTTGCTATTAATGGACCTTGAGGCTCTCCGTGGAGCATACTGGGAGAGGCGGTCCCGTAGGTACGAGGGTCCTAGGCCGTGAAGGGCTTTAAAGGTCAAAACCAGCACCTTAAATCTGACCCTGTACTCCACCGGGAGCCAGTGCAGCTGGAAAAGCACTGGGTGAATATGCTCCCATGGCAGAGACCCCGTGAGGAGCCTTGCTGCAACATTCTGCACCTGCTGGAGTTTCTGGGACAGCTTCAAGGGCAGCCCCGCGTAGAGCGAATTACAGTAGTCAAGCCTGGAGGTGACCGCCGCATGGATCACTGTGGCCAGGTCGGGGCGGGAAAGGTAAGGGGCCAATGATGATGATGATAATAACAATAATCCATGACAAAATGGTTCTCTATACCAAAACCAAAACAAACCAAGTCAGAATGAAACATTCAGCGTAAAAATCTTAACATGTCAGGAGAAATTCAGGAGACCCAGAATCACAACAACAACAACAGGGCGCTTCGGCTTTGAAGTCGGTGTGGCGAACCACAGCGAGGGGGGAGGACGCGATATCTTTCCTTAGGCGAGATACCCCTCTCCCTTTTCCATTTATCTTTTGACTAGACACCCCGCTCGGGATACCCCACTCGCTGCTGGCCGTCCTGACAAGTCACACCGCGCAAGCTCCGCCCGCCCGGGAGCCTCGCCTCTCCCCCTCTGTGCGCGTGCGTGTGTTGTTATTGTGCCTCTTCCTCGCTCCCGTCATCCCTTTCAGGAAGCTGCGCCGTCCTGCGGGCCGGTGGCTGGCTCAAGATGGCGGCCGACAGTGAGGTGAGTCCGCCTTCGGAGCGCCCTCCCCACCCCCTCCCGCCGCCTCTAAGCAAAGACGGTGGGGTGACGCTCCGCGGGTCGCCCCTCTTCACCCCTCCCCGTCCACACCCGCCCTTCAGCGCCTCACTCGTCTTCTTTTCCCCCCGCAGCCGGAGTCCGAAGTGTTCGAAATCACAGATTTCACCACCGCCTCCGAGTGGGAGAGGTAGGTATAGCTCTTCGCGGCGGGGCCGCCTCCTCCTCCTCCTCCTTCGCGGACCCTCCTTCGTTGCCGGTCCCCCCCCCCCTTTAATGAACTGCCTCCCTTCTTTCTCGAGTTGTATCTTCCCGTCCCGTTTCCTACTTTGCCCTTTGCGGAGCTGCGTTGGGGTTGTGTGTTTGGCAGTAGAGGAGAAGGGGGTGTGTGTGTGTGTGTGTGTCTTTCTGTCTGTGTCTGTGTCTTGTGTCTTCGCTTCTTGGCTCTCGGATGACCTGGCGACAAGCTGGCTGCAAGGTCCAGCTGCTCTGGGCGAATTTGGGGAGAGGAAGAGGCAGGGGGAGACTCCCAGTGACAACACCTGGAGGGAGCCCCCCCTCTTGTTTTGGGGTGGGGGTGTCTTAAGAATTGGGGAGAGGGAGAATGCACCTGAAAGGTGGTTGCTGGGTCGGTCGGTAACCCCCTACCCCCCCATAATAATATTTCATGTTGCCAGAAAGGGCTTTTCTGCAGCCTGCTCCCCCAGGAATGTGGTCAAATCTATTCCACAGATGGACTGAAAAACAAGTTTGCCTGGCAATGTGGTTTTATTTTTTTAACCTGCCTTCCCGTCTGCTACTTGTTTCTATGGCAAGTGAGCTACGCCAGAAAATGGTTCATGCTGGGTGAATGGGTAACTGCATAACTTAAAACCCACCCACGAAAAACCCAAAATATAAAGGGGTTGGTCTCTTAGCAGCTTTTGATCCTGTTGACCCTGATCATCTGATCAAGATCATTTGCGTTGGAAGCTGTGGGTTGTGCTGGGTGTGATTGTGCTTCAGTAGATTCCAGGCAGACTTAGCTCAGAGACTTATTAAACCAAAAAGTATTGATGTAGGCAAACCCATATAAGAAAGTAAAATAAAATATTCTGTAAAAAGTAAAATATTCTGAGACGTGGGGCGGGGGAGGGTGCATTGACAACTCATGTATTGGGGATGCGGGCCGGAAAGGAAGAGGGTACTTGTGACAACTGTCTGGCCAACCAGCTCATGGTTGGCACCAACTTTAAAAGAAGTGAGGCTGGGCACATCATTGGAGCAGCCTCCAGTGTGCGCACAGGGCATTTAGGGGTGAAGGTAATCCTGCCCACAGCCCTGAACATAACACACAAATAGATGCAGCAGATCGAATCGCACTAATCTTCCAGCGGCTTAATTACCTCTGTGTGAGAGTTTTCTCTCCTTGATGTGTGGAGCTTGATTAATTCTAAGCATCTAGGTGGATTCGGATTCTAAGCACCTAGGTTTCTGTTAGCTTGGGAACAGCCATGGTCATCCTGATGTATTATTTGCATTAGGGAAAGTTACGTAAGAGTGCCTTCTTTTATTATTGAACTCTCAGCATCTTTTGATGCTGTTGGCCCTGATATTCTTCAAGATTCTGTGTTGGAAGCTGAGGTTTGTGCTTTAGGATTCCAGGCAGGTAGTGTAAGGAGACTGTTGTTTCTCTTCATGGGAATTGTCCTCTGAGGTTCTCCAGATTTCAGTATTGCTTTCTATGCTGGGTGCAGTTGGCTTGAGGTTTGGAGAGTGGTTCCATTAATGTCTCTGATGACACTTGGCTCCATTTCTCCTTTTCATCAGATGAAAGTGGAGCTTTGACCTTACTTAACAAAAGCCATGAATGTGTAACGGACTTGACAAAGGTGAATAAACTGAAGTTTATTCCAGACAGACAATATGATAGTCAAGTAGTCTGATCAGGAAATGTCTGCAAGCACTTTCAGCTGGTTTAGAATTTGCTTATGGGTTTTAGCTGTCATGAACTTAAAACATTTCTTAAGATTTTTTTTCATTGGCAGCAAGTGTTTCCTTGTTCAATTCAAGATGCTGGCCTTGACTTTTTTAAAACCCTAAATGGTCTCTTGGGGAGCACCTTCCTCTATTTGTTCAAAATGTGTTTTCATTATCAATGTATTGTAGAGTAGCTCCTGCATTTTGTTAGGGGTTGGGCTAGAATATCTCCAAAGGCTCTTCCAGCTCTAAAATGATCTACCTTGGGAACTTCTGTATACTAAATAATAATAATAATTATAGATAGATAGATAGATAGATAGATAGATATAGATATATAGATATACAATATGCTAGTGAATGTGCTGGTGATGCTCTACCAAAATTGATTTGTGTCTGTATGTATATATGTGTGAGAGGGGGAGAGAGAGAGATGTTCTCCTGAATATGTTGTTTTACAGCACAATCCTATAATGTCTACTCAGAAGTAAGTCCTATTAAATTCATTGTACTGTACTTGTAGGTAAGTAGATATAAGATTGTAGCCTAAAGCTACCACTGTTAAATTGTGCTAATAATCAGCCATGAAAAGTTTTAAGGCCCTTATGTTTTAATTTTCATTTTTATGGCTATTAGTTATAATATAAGCATTGCATGACGTTAGTTCCATATCATAACTTTCCTTGTTAGATTTATTTCCAGAGTTGAGGAAGTTTTGAATGACTGGAAACTTATTGGCATTTCTTCAGGCAAAGTTTTGGAAAAGGTAAGATTGCCTTTTGAACTGTTTGGTGAAAATATAAACCATTAGTCCCATTCTATGACATCTTTATTTAGAAACTTAACAATTTTGGCAGAATTCCTTCAGCAGTTTATAAACTTATAAAATCAAAATACAATAAAGTACAAATAAAGATCAGGATACAATAAATATAAATCTCCTACTTAAAACACCCAAGTCAGCAGCTAAGTGGGATAATACTTGCAAACATGTAAATTATCCTGTCTAAAAAGCTCAGCTTATAGGAGACATTTGAAGCATCCAGACTAGAGGATTGGTGCTACAACAGAAAAGGCTTGTTTCTGAAAGAGGTTTCTGGATGACCTTCTGCTGGTTGCAGTGTTTCCAGCAGAGGCTCCTTTGATTATCATAAAAGTTAATTTGGCCTATAAAAGGTGGTCTGCTAGGTATCCTGGTCTCACGTTATTCAGGGCTTTATATATGAGTAAAACCTTGCAGAATTCCTTTATATGAAACTTGTTTAAAACACCTTCTATTTGTAATAGTGGAATTGCATTCAGAGATGTGTAGTAATGTTATATTGCAAATAATTTTGCTCATACATAACTAATGTTTCTGCCCTATTTGATATTCAGGGTGTATATACCACTGAAACATGGGAGGAGAAATCCGATGAGATTGCTTTTGCTGATTTCCGATTCTCAGTGACACATCATTATCTTGTGCAAGACTCCAGTGACAAGGATGCAAAAGAGGAACAAGTAGAAGGTAGTTACGTTTTCCATCACCCAAATATTTTTGAGTCTTTACTATTTTATTTTGTGGCATTATATTATATTGTGTTGTTACTGAATGTTGTTGTTGGCATACATCTCTCTTTCTTGAGAGAGAGAGAGAGAGAGAGAGAGAGGGATAATGGAGTGTACCTCCAGGGGTGAAAACAAATTGATGTGTTAGCAGCATCAAAGTGACCTCCCCAAGACACAAGCCTGGGTACTGTGTATGGAGGTCCTGGGCTGCACAGATGACAGAACCCTACACTTGGCCTCACTGATGTGGTCCAAAGGAAAGCAGAGCAATATGTTTGGCTTCTTCACTGCAGGAATTGCCA